CTCGACTCGACAAGGCCCAAGCAGAGATTTTTTGGCCGAACAAAAGTTTGGCTCGGTTCGGGCTCGTAAAAAAGCTCAGACCATCTAGCTCGAGCAGAGTCCAAGCCTCAAGTTTCAATTCGACTCGTTGACACCACTACAAATGGCGGATCTTGGAGATCACTGCCTATTTTTAAGGAGATTGTCGCTGATTTGGAGATTTTAGAGGTAAATTATGATGATGAAGATTTGGCCTTAATTTTTTTTTGTTCATTGCCTACTTTATTTACTTTGTTTAGAGATACAATTTTATATAGTCGTAATACTCTCACCATTGAATATGCGTATGATGTTTTGTTTTCAAATGAAAAGATAAAACATATGGTTGGATCTGAGGCTAGAGTTGGAGAATGCCTTATTGTTCATGGTGATCACAGAAAGGGCAGGTCGAAATCTAATTTCAGTAATCATATTTGTTTTTATTGCAAGAAGAAATGACACATTAAAAAGGATTGCAACAAGTAGCAGAACAAAGGAAATTTGGCTGTATATAATCAGAAACTTCAGGTGAAGCCGCTGTCACAAAGGACTATTTGAGTGATGGAGATGTCTTGGCTATTTCTGACGACGACTTCAATCCTGATGATGATTGGATTCTGGATGCAGCTTGTGCTCTCAATTTGGATTTGTTTTTAGCATATGAAACATTTTCGAAAGGTGTCGTGGTCATGGAAAATAATGCATCTCGTCAGGTTCAACATTTTTCAAATCTGAAGAAAAATCTCATCTCGTTGGTTACTCTTGATCCAAAAGGGTATGTGAATTCATTGATGGAGGTGGAACTTCAAAGGTCTTGTGAGGTCGTGTAGAATCCTTGAAGATTAGTCAGCAAAAGGTTTAGTACCATGGTGGATATTCAGCTAGGAAGAGTATCGTTGGGATTTGGTTTGGGGTCCTTATAGAAGAATACAGCTCGATCGAGTTAAGAAGATATGGTAATGTCACTTCACCACCATCACTTGCGTTGGCATCATATTCAATTGCTAGGAAAAGACCTAGTGGAGATAAGTATGGAGAAACTAGTTTTGTTGTGCATTCTTTAAGTGTATATTAAGTTGTTGGGTCTAGCAAGAGGTCTTCTACAAAAGCATTTAGTGGAGTTGATTCTATTACAAGGTGTATTTTGGTCCTATTTGGTAAATTTTAAATTATTTGTGATTTTTTGGAAATCCGAGTTAATTTTGCTAATTAGTGCTTTGATTCATTATCCTAGTTGGATACGTGGGAAAGGTGGAGATTTTTTTGGTTCGTTGGAAAAGTTGTTTGGTTTTGTTGAAGAGTTCAGTTCATTCCCTACAATCGAATTTTTTTCTAAGTGGAGAAATTTTGGAGCTTCGTTAATTGTGGTGAAATTTGTGTAAAAGTGGAGATTGTTTGGTTTGTGACCTAAATTCTAACTAGGGTTGTGTGGTTTGATGTATTGGGCTTTGAAGACGTCAAAATAGGATCCAAAGAGGAAAATTGGATTTGAGGCGCCAACTTCTTGCCCACTCACCGCTAGAGCGGTAGGGCAGAATTTTCAACAGAATGCTGACGCTCTCCTGAAGTTCGAGAATGGCTGTTCGAGATTTTCCTTGTTTTGATTATTCCCTTCTTCTTCCCTTTTTTTTTTTTTTTTTTACCTAAATTTATCTTCAGGACTATTTATTAGAGTTTGACATATACCACTATAAATAGTAAACTCTTCTTTACAAGTTAATTGATTAGTACAAGTTAGAATTGTGTAGGAACATAATATTATTATAATTTCTCTCTCCACTATAGCTTAATAAAATCTTCAAATTTTCTACCAAATTAAATTCTTGTTTCTTGTGTTGTTGTTACGATCAATACTTCATATCGTGCCGTATAATCTTGGCCCCCCCCCCCCCCAAAATGTAGATAATTAACATAAAACTGAGTTTTATCTTATTTAGGGTGACTTGGCTACAGATCTATTTGCTCACTGTTGATGGAAGCAAACAATATTTTAAGAGAACATGATGATTTGTGTGCCATATGGTTAAAGTTCTTAGAAAACAAAATTTATTGTAGGAGATTATCATAGTGATTTATCAGCAACTTCAAGGTTCCACTAGACCATTTGAAGATGGACCCGAGGGGCTCCAACGTGAAGAGACATGGCTCAACCAGGAAAGCATGCTTATTTACCCTTTGTTTCTTTTAGCTAAAAAATTAAGTTAAAATCAACAATTAATTTTAACCATTTTTTATGGGGGGAGGGAGGGGGGAATTTCATAAGAAAAAGTTTAAGTATACATATTTCGAAATCAAGAAAACAAATTCAAATTTCAAAAATCATATTTTTATTAAAATCCATTTATGATTTAATTATTTTATTAATTAAATATATTTATGTCATAGATCTATACACTTTGGTCATAAATTAACAATTTAATTTGTCACTTATTATTTTTTGGTCACAAATCAAATATTTTAGGACACAAATTATTTTATGATCACAATTCAAGAATTTTGTAGGTCACAATTTGTTCATCGGTCACAAATTAAAAAATCAATTGGTCACGGATTATTTTTAGTCATACTTATCAATTTTTTGGTCACAATTTATTTCTCAATCACAAATAAAATTTTTTATAGGTCACAGATTATTTTCAGATCACGAATCAAAAATTTTACAAATCACAGAGTCAAACTTATTAAACTAATTGGTCACGATTAATTTTTCGTTCACAACTTAATCAATTGTGAGTCAAGGTCACAACTTTCAACCAATTTATTAGTCACAAACACAGTACAGCACCACCTGACCCCCAACATCTCACCCATCCTAACCTACTCTGCCACTTCCGCTACCAAAGCCTACAACTCACCACAACCACTATCACCATCGTATTGGCAATTATGATAACCAACACCAACCAAATATTGTAACAACTGCCTATATCTACCGCCACCTCCACCATCTCTTCAAGACCATTATATCATCTATCTCTTTCGGTACTTATACCTATATCTCAGTACACCACAATCGCCACCCACCAACAAAAAAAAAAAAAAAAAAAAAAAAAAAAAAAAAAAAAAAAAAAAAAAACACAAAAAAAGACAAAT